ATAAAATGGAGTATCCTGAGGTAGTAAGGCAATTAGGTAAAAAGATCGATATTAACTATTATCTGAAAAGTGTTGCCAGTCTTTGTGCATATTTTATAAATTACGATGATAGATTCTAGCCATCATCTGAATCCATAGAAAAATCGAAGAATAGCAAAGATTTGGATGAAGATGATGTATCAAATATGAAAGACGCCTTAGCGCATAAATCAGCTGAAAAGTAGATTAAGGGATATATCAAAGACCTACGTGATAGACCAAAAAAAGATGAAGCCATTGTATCCTATTTATAGAAAGAAGCTCGTACTTACGTGAAAAATTTATTTGATACCAATTATGCTAGTAAAGTAGTAAAATGCTCAGGTAATGTTGGTTATTACACTTTCTTCCTTAATGCACTAGATAAACTAGAAGAATCCGCCTGCTTAAAGGTTTTGTTATTGCTTAAAGAAATTTTTAAAATCGATAAATATTACAAAGAAAAAATGTATAAATTAGTTACTAAGTCCAGTAAGCATAAATCAAAAGCTATGATCTTAGAAAAATATATATTATCATATGATCTAGAAAATGAGAGTAAGCTACTAGCAAATTTCTGAAACACATGGTACAAAGTGATTGGTCTAGAAATCACACGCTATCAAACATTATCTAAGTTACAGGATGACAAAAAAGATGATTCATCTGAACAGATATAGATGAAATCATTAAATTATATAGATAAGTACTCTTGGCTAAAATTTCCTCACCCCTGCTAGAAAACTTATAATACTGGCTAACTTCAATTTCTATATTCGATCTGGATATGGGGAGGCCTCTTCCGGCCTAGCCTCCGATTACACAGCCTGAACTCAGATATACCCGGAGATGTAGCTGATCGTTATATATTTTTTTTCATACAATATTAACAGTTTTATTTAGACTCAAGCTTTATTAATATAATGGCTAAATTGCACGACCAACTTTCTCAGTACATAGGCTTCGAACCTAGTAAAATCTAATTACAGAGGAGGATAGACAAGAATTTCATAAAATAATAGCAAATCAGAAGAAAATGACAGATATTATAATGGATGAGTATCGATTTTTGCTATGCCGTGGGCATAATAGTAAGGAAGGTGAGTTTATTTATATTGGATAGTTTCTAGCTTGTACGGTGGCTGACGCTAGAAAGGTCTTAATAAATCCACCTAAAGATTTATCAGAAAAGGTGTTAGCTCATATTGAAAAAAGATTCGAAGAAGTTCCACTAGCGCCATTGTACTCATATGGTAGATAATTAGGTGTTATTCCTGGCCTATCTGGTATCTCTTCTCTATTTATATATTTTTTGTAGACGAGATATCTGACTTTTTCTTTTGGCATGATGCTCTCCAAATTCAATAGCTTTTTCACAATGACTAACCATATAATTACGATTAATAGAAAAAG